AAATAACGATGAATAGAAATTGCCAAAAGGACACCATTCTCTATTGTATCTTTTGTGTTTTTTGTATTCTTATCAGTGGTTAAAATGAAAGACAAGGTTGTATTTATATAAATAAAACAGATTGTACTTCTACTAAATTTTTATATTTATTTGCTGTTTGTCACTGACAAAGCATTAAGTACTGACAGCATGAATAGATATAGGGAAAACAGGCATTATGATAAGGTATTGAATAGGCAAACGAACGACATTCGACTTTTTTGGAATATAGGGGTCGATATATGTCGTTCATTTTTAGAGATTATTTAAAATAATTATGGAACTAAATGACATAGATAGATAGACGTATATATAACAGAATTTTCTGCTTACACGAAATTAAATACTTGGATCTATGAGAGAGTTCTTATCATCAGTTTCTTTTTACCAAAAGAATAATAAAACACGTCAGCATGATGAAATAGAAGAAGCAGTTTTTTGAATTTATTTATGTGAAATGCATCACTCATAATAATACAGCAATACAAGGAATATAGTTTATCATTTCTAAAAGTACATAGAGAATGGTTTTTTTCAATGGCTTTTTTTTGTTTGTGTCCATGTCTTTGCAAAAAAGTCTTGTATTTTGAATTTTTTTCGATATAATCCAAATAATTGTCATTCATACGTTTAAAAAAATATAGTAAAATATGATTGGAATAAACAAGATGAGTAACTAAATTTTAGAATGTCAAGTCTAAATTCCAAAGTATTTTAAGAAAAAAAGAAAGCCATATTTCATTTATTTAATCTATTGTGCTCCAGCCATTCTATATATTTTATCTAGCAGAAAACAAGAAGTTATACTTGTACGTAATATCGAAAAAAACCCAGTAAAAATAAGTATAATTTTAATAAATAAATAAAGTTTATTCAACGTAATATAACGTTGAATATATCGAATTAATTTTTTATTATTATCATCAACGAGAATATACCGTAGAACTAATACGGTATGAAATATATCTGGTCCATACCAATTGAATAAACGAAGATTTGGACTATGATAAATCGATACTGAACATGTTGTTGATAAAAATGTGGTTTTATGTAACCATGCCAGATTTGATTTTGGTAATGCATTTACATGAGAATTAAACATTATATTCCATAATTCAAGTGCAATTTCAATATAAAAATAAACTATATAAGATGGATAGAGTAATCCAATACATGCATACATTACGAAATGTGCATATGTATCTAATATAAATTCAAAATATGCACCCAATAATGACTTTTGATTTAAATGACGTGCAAATATACCATCAAGAGAATCAAGAAAACCTGATACTGTATGATAAATAACAAATAATAAGTAATTTCGTTGACTAAAGAAAAGGAAAAAACAGTTTTTTCTATTTTGTAATATCAATATAGAACAGTCTTAAAAATAAATATTTAATGATAGGAACTTTTGTTCTAACTGAATCGATTAATTTCAAAGCATGTAAAGATATTTTTTTTTAATTTTCTATATATGATACATTCTTTCCTTTTTTTGTTGCTTTAAAAAATGAACATTTTTTTTTAAATCATTTCATACCCGAAATATCGAATACTGACAAACAAAAGTACAATACGAAACCAACATAGTGTGTTAGGTACATTGAATAAGACGACCCAGCTATTAACGTTGTCATTAGTCACTAAATGTAAATTTGAAATTCGATTGTTAATATTAAGAAAAGACTTACTATTAGAATTTGTCATTTTGTGTTTTTCTTGATTGCTATTTAAAAATGAGAAACACACTTTAGTGATTATTGAAATGAATCATAGTATTTCAACATATGACTCTTCATAATGACTTTTTTTTCATGCTTCTTTTCTTTTTTCTCTTTTTTTTTTTTCTTGAAATAAACTACTAGAGCACTAGTTTAATTAGTCTGATTGAAAAAAGTAATTTAGCTTCTCAAATTTCTTTGTTCACGCTATCGACAGTCTATATGAAAATATATACTTGTCATATTTTATATGCAATTATTATCATTACATATTTACTGTAATAGACAACAAAAAAAAAGAACGTCAAAAATATTCTGATGTAACCCTGGCATCAATACTTGAAACTAAGAATAATGAAATAGGAATTGAAAAAAAAAGTATGATATTAATTGAACAAACAATTGTCAAAGTAAAGGAGGTATAAAAAAAGTTTTCTTTTTCTAAACACATAAATGCTACTTTTTCTTTTTTTTATGGCTGCTAATTTTACATATGAATGAAGAGTATAAAACACTAAAGTCATCATTACCGTTGATAAATAGGGAGCCAATAATAAACAAATAAATGTATTTAGATGATGCCAAATAAAATCGAATGAATGAATGAATGTAATTATTTGTCACTCTGTATGCATAATTTCTTATCAACTAAATATTTAATTTTTATTTCCTTCATGAAACATAAGACTTTTTTTTATTGAAAATATTGTGTGTCTATATATGTCAGTCAAGCGCATATTATTATTATTATTCAAATGAGTTAGAGACTATGCTTTACATAAGCAGCATCTTGATCAGAAAAAAATCAGAGAAGAAGAATAACTAAAATGTTTTGAACCACGCAAAGCAAAGATACATCGAACGAGTGGCGCATAAAGAGTAAGGCACGTTTTTTGTCTTTTCCAAGGCTTTAGAAGGTTTCTAAAACAGCATTATCAGATAATAAAACATGGATCATATGCTGCTGTACAAGAATAGAAATCCATAGATCAAAAAAGAAAGTGGCACAAAAATAATTAATATTCCTACAGCATAAAACTTATTGTACTTATCAAATTTGACGGGTTCTATCAAATTTTACGTCAACAGTAACGGTTAATCTGTGAATAAAAAATGTGCAACAAAATTGGCTATATCGTTCAGCGTAAATTCAGGGCTGAAAAACTTGAATTCATTCATAATGCATAAATAGTCAAACGATCATAAAAATGTTCTTTTTGATCTTGAGTTAATGAATTTGAAAACAAATGAATTTTTATGTCTGCTGCATGATTTCAATGTCAACTGTTTTCATTTGAAATCACTAACATGCAGTAGTATGTAGTGAAATACAATATCCGATCCAAAAAAAAAAAAGAGTTCATAAGAACTGTAGCAAACTTCACATTCAAACAAAAAGTGAAAATATGACTATTTTCTACATGGGTTTAAAAATTTCTCAAAACTTATGTCAATAGGCACTTTATTGTCTGATTAAAACCTACTTTATATCAATACATTTGAAAAAGAATAAAGGTTATAATTCATGCTATTTACAATATGGTACACATTATATCTACAGATATTTCCAATCAATAGAAGATGTAAAAAAAAAAAGTATGAATGGGAACTGAGAAACAATTGAAACAGATGCTGATCGAATCCAATACAATTTTTTCGCTTCATTTTGTGCTGTTTCACTATGTGTGAAGACAATCTTTTTTTTTGGTCAACAGATTTTTTTCTTTTGTTCTTTTGATAAATTAACAAAAAGATACCTATGAATCATGTTTAATCTTATTAAAAAACCAACGAGTACCAAAATATTTTAGTAGGAGATTCCACACTTGGTTGAAAAATTTCAAGTGAAAAATACATGTGCTACAAAGAAAAAGAAGAAAAAAAAGCGGCCTAAATCAACATTACTATGAACAAGAAAGTAAAAAACAAACAAGAGTGTGATGTCGACGGAGAAGTGCAAGGAGTGCCTTTTCTCATTCACTTTAACAAATTTACATTGTTTCCAGCAAAATATGTTTCTTTTTCTTGGAAAAAATCATAGAATAAAAAAGTTTTGTAGCCTCACTCTTTTTCTTTACCATATTCTTTAAAACAATGACAATTTTAACTGCTTTTTTAATATTCTTGTTTCTTTTTTCACATTTTTACAATAGTAGCTATAATATTTTAAGTGGATGTAGCAAGTACTTAAAAAATTTTTTGTGAGAATGTCGAGAATGATCCAATTATACGAAGAAGTTCTCAAAATTTGATTTTCTTTGACTTTTTCATACTCATTCGAAAGATCATCATCTAAAACATTAAATGTTTACTTTATGTGAATTTTTTATAGAAAAGTTAGCCTTGATCGGCTTTTTAGCACTACCTATCTGCCATCGACAAAATAGCGATTCATTATCTCCTAAATGTCTACACTACATTATACTTCTACAAATCAGAGAATTTTTTCATCCCACATACCAAAAGATAGAGCGTCAACAGATGACAAAAGTGAGCTATTTTAAGTATTGTATGGCATCTATTTACTGGATGTATAAAATTCAATATGAATGGAAAAGATCAAAATTGACCAGCCTTTAACGTCCAATTTTCGA